TTGAGATGGAGTTTCGCTCTGTGTGGCCCAGGCTGGAGTGCAGTGGTGCCATCTTGGCTCACTGCAACCTCTGCCTCCTGGGTCCAGGTTCAAGCAATTCTCCTACCTCAGCCTCCCAAGTAGCTGGGATTACAGGCATGAGCCACCATAGCCAGCTAATTTTTGTATTTTTTTTTAGTAGAGAAGGGGTTTCACCATGTTGGCCAGTCTGATCTTGAACTCCTGACCTCGTGATCTGCCCACCTGGGCCTCCCAAAGTGCTGGGATTACAGGTGTGAGCCACCGCACCTGGCCTGAATGATATTACTTCTATTACTACAATTTATTAGATACTTACCACCATATCACGTGTTTTATTTGTATCTAATCCTTCCAAAATCCTAGCAAAAATAGGTATTACTTCCATTGTACAGTTGAGGAAACAGAGGGCACGGAGGAATTTGACAAAGAGAATAGACAGTACATAGGTAATATTACATACTAATGATATATGTTTAGTGCTTTATATGCAGTTTCCATCATTACATAAACACCATGAGGTGGAACGCAGGAAGGTTTAGAAATTATCATAAGGTCACACAGCTCACAAATAAGAATAGCTAGGATTCAAGCCCATCAAGTCTGACTCCAGGAGGCCTGGTGCCTTTATAAGCTGTACTTTACATAAAACGTCTTAGTAGAGTGCCAAGGATTTGAACCTGACCCAAATCTGTCTGGCTCCAAAGACTGAGAACTGTTCATTTCTCGTCTTTGTACAGCAGTTAAAATGTGGGAAGCAGACCAAATAATCTCAAAGGTTCTTTCTGTTCAAAATTGCTATGTCTCTATGCATTTTTTTTTTTTTTTTTTTTGAGATGGAGTTTCTCTCTTGTTGCCCAGGCTGGAGCACACTGGTGCGATCTCGGCTCACCACTACCTCCGCCTCCTGGGTACAAGCGATTCTCCTGTCTCAGCCTCCTGAGTAGGTGGGATTACAGGCATCCGCTACCACGCCCAGCTAATTTTGTAGGTTTTACTAGAGATGGGGGTTTCTCCATGTTGGTCAGGCTGGTCTCGAACTCCCGACCTCAGATGACCCGCCCGCCTTGGCCTCCCACAGCGCTGAGATTACAGGGGTGAACCACTGTGCCTGGCCTCTGAATGGATTTTGTTATAAGATTTTAATATGTAAGAAAAAGTTGGTGGGCGGGGGTGGCGGTGGGGACAGAAACCAAGTTTTGGGGATCCATAAGAAAACTAACTTAGAGTTACAGCTAACTACATGTTCAAATTTAAGAACACAACAATCCTCTGATAACTATTATCACTACCATTTTAAAGGTGAGTTAACTGAAGCATGTTAAGTAAACCACTTAAGTGGCAGCAAAAAAAGCACAACTTACATGTAACATAAACCTGGGCTTTCGGCGTTGCCTCTGACTTAACCTGCTTGTCTTGATGGACAAGGAGGAATTCCCGTACTCTTTATGAGCTAGATTTTTCTAACTTTGTATTACAACTCTTATTCAATTACATGCTTATCCAATAACATATTTGAACTGTGCTTATACTTCCATGAGCCCGACATAAGGTAACCTCAGGGATCGCAAGCAAACTTAAAAAGACAAAAAAGGGTATAAAAGACCTGAGAGTATCAGCAACACAGTTCCCACCTTTTCTTACTCTTTTTACTGAACAAAAGTTAACCGGGACATCGCTTTTGAAGGAAAGAAACAAATGCTGCTTCAGATCACATAAGTGACAAAATTTACACACAGTACCAATTTATGGCTGGGAGTTGCAGGGTAGAACAGTGTCAGCTGAAATCAGATGTATTAAAATTAAGCAGAAAGTGATACCGTGGACAGCCTGCCAAGTGACGTCACAACTAAAAATCGCTTTCTTAAAAAACAAAAACCCTGACATTCTACTCCACAAAAGATCATCCTGCTGGCTGATGAATGTAACACTTAACCCCTTTGCTTTTATTATAAGCGGTTTAAACTGATGCTCCTTCTCCTAAGTCGTAACGCACCAGTTGTCGGGGTAATCCAGACAATAATAGAAGTGAATACAAACAAAATGATGCTTATTGCCGAGGAACCCGCGAAAAAGCGCCAGATAGAACCCAGCCCAGCCTCTCCCGCGAGTCCCAGAAGACAAAGCTGGGTCCCAGCAACCACTGCGGCTAGAACTACACATCCCAGCATGCAAGGCGCACACTTCTCCCGGCTGGACTACGATTCCCAACATGCTCTCCGGGCAGCTGGCCGGCCTCCCCACCATCCTGGGATCTGGGGTCTTTGCAAAAATGAGGTCCCTCTCCGCCCGCTCAGCTTCCCTTTAGAGTTAAGAGTCGGGCACCACCTTGTGATAGCAAATTGTGACTTTTCCAAGTTTTTGATGCATTCTTCGTTGCTTGTTTTATTAGGGCCGCAAAAAGCCTCAGGCCAGGGCGCGTGTGGGCGGAGACAGGTTTGAGCCAATAGCACGGGAGCGGCCCTGTCGCTGCCATAGCAACGGCGGTCATTCTCGGGGGACCGGCCGCCCATTGGGTAGAATCTTTCGAGAAGGCTCGAGAAGAAGGAAGCGGAAGTGGCACGTGGAGGGGCCAGTGGAGGCGCCGGTGAGTAAATGCCGCAGATTCTGGAAAGTTCTGATCAGTGCAATACATAAGGCTGAGGAACTGGGACCTCCCCTTTTGGGTCGGTAGTTCAGCGCCGGCGCCGGTGTGCGAGCCGCGGCCAAGTGAGGCAGGCAGCCTAAGGTGCGGAGCGACCCGCGGAGGCTGAGCGGCGCTTTCTCCCGGGGTTTCTCGTCAGCCAGCCGCCGCTGTTCCCTGGGGAGTCGGAGGCGCCTGACAGGCCGGCTGTCCGTGTGTCCTTCTCAGTGTCAGAGAAGCGGCCAGACCCCGCTGGCCGGAGTCTAACGCTGCCGGGGCAGGAAACGGCGCTAGGAGAAGCAGGCAGGCGGCCGGAGGACGCAGACCCGGACCTGAGGCGGAGGCGAACTGCGAGCCGGCCATGTCGGTGGTGGGATTGGACGTGGGCTCGCAGAGCTGCTACATCGCGGTGGCCCGCGCCGGGGGCATCGAGACCATCGCCAACGAGTTCAGCGACCGGTGTACCCCGTAAGTGGAAGCCTGCGAGGGTGGCTGGGGGGCGGTTCTGGGCCCTTAGCGTGGGAACCCCAAGCTCGCAGGCTGGCTACGGAGCACCGCGGTAAACGGAGGCGTTTGGCAGCGGCACACCTTTCCGTGGAACTAGGGACCAGCGACCCGGCGATGCAGGACCTTGCCCAAGAGGAGGGATGGGGGGCTTGCCGCTACGAATTGGAGAAGGGATTGTGTCAGGGATTCACGGGGGCGAGAAGAGTCCTAGAGTCGAGATTCTTAGGGTCGTCACTTTGTGCGGACTTTCTACTGGGGGTTTTCCTACTGGGGGTCGGGCTGCGCCGAAGCCCGCGACTTGGCTCTCTTTTCTTGGCAGGCTGCAGCCTGCGCCTTCCGCGGCCGCCCCCATATCCCTACCCGGCCTCTTTGAGCTGGCTCAGCCGCCCCCAGCCTGTCCTCCTCCCTCCGCGCATATCTTTGCGCACGGCGGAGCCGGGCCGCCGGGCTTTTTCTTCCGCATTGTGAATCTCGAAATGAACTGGAAGCTTCCAGAGCTTGTGTCGCTGGTTGTCCACTGAGCAGGCGGACTGTTGTTAGCGACCACGGAAGCAGTCCTATGAAAGATTAGCCCACCTCTTTTTACCCAGTCTCTTGGTTGCCAACATTGTTGTCCTTAGTGCCCAGGATCATTGTCGAAAGATGTAAACGTCCTTCTTTTGCTCTTTGCCATTCATAGGGAATTGTAAAGCGTATTTTTTACAATTAATTTTGAACAGTTTATGTAAAAGAGGATAAAAGTTGCATACTTTTGTGCTAGAAAGATTTAAGAGGATGGATGGATGTCACTGAACTAAATATTCTGTAGCAGCATGGGTTGGGCAAAGGGCAACGTTTTAAAAAGCAACTTTTGTTAGGTGATATTTTCAGACGAGGATATATGCAAACATATCTGCACGTGCATTGATAAAAACATGCTTCCATCTCAAGGAAATTACTGTGCCTATTAATTTTTTCCAAATGTTCCAAGCCCAGGATGAAAAGTGTAAAATGAAAACATTGAACTCAAAGGCAGAATAACTGGGGTAATACAGTTATTTGGGTGTTGATGAACGTTTATGAAAATTGAGTGGAAAATCTGAGGCAAAATACTTGGCAATGTTAGTAACGTTAGGAAGACTGCTCTGACCAACCTGTACGTCTACCTCTGCAGATCTGTTTTTTGGTTAAGGGTTTTGTAATTGAAGTTTAGAAAGAAAGAAAATAGTATTTCAGCCTTTCATGCCTAGGTGCAGTTTACAGTTTGTTCTGGTTGATCCAATAAAATAAAGAAAAACTCTTCAGAGGAGAGTAGGGAAAAAAAAATTGTGTTATGTAGATACAGTGACTACTGTGTGAAACTAGACAACAGGTATGGCCCTGAAAAGTGAACTGAGGGCAGTATTGGAGTTCCCCTTAGTATGTTTAACTATATGGTCGACTATTGCATCAGCTACTGATTGCTCTTCAGTGCAATTAATTTGATTCTCCCCTAGGAAAATGAGTAGATCATTCTAGAAGTGTATAGATACTCTGAGCTTTGAATGATGCTCTGATTTTGGACGGTTTCTTGTCTACCTTCTGCTTGGACACTTCTCTGGCTTTTAGGACGCTATTTTATTTAACACTTGCTCAGATAATGTAGTTCAAGGATGTTTCTATTACGGAAAATTTAAACTTTAGTACTTAATGCCCTCAGTATTTTCCCGTTTTGCTCATCTCATTTACCATTACTCCTACCTAAGCAGGTAGGAGTAACTCACCCAAAATTAGATTAGGTTTGGATTAGTAATCTAGAATTAGATAACTCCTCAAATCCAAAACCTAATTCACTTACCTTCTCCTCACAAGACTTCTTGAGCTTGTCTGTGCTGTTACTGTGCGGTTCCGTTTCCATGGTGGCTGAGAAGGTTGTCTCACAGTTACAAGGCACTTTGCATCTCTTCAAAGCAGATTTGGTGTAACTGATTAGTCACTCCTTTCCCTCAACGTTTATATTCTGTTCTGCCGTGATACTTGTTCTGCATCATTTTTTTTCTTGCAGAATCTCCCAGATGGGAACCTCTTTGTGCTCTTTAAACTTGAGAGGTTTAACTTGGGTTCACTTGCTTGGGTTTGCATAAAAACTTTTGATTCCTAAAGAAGCAGGTGGTGTATCAGAACAAAAGTCGGTATGTTCAGAGTTGGCGACTGAAGGGTAGAGTCACATCCTATTTTTTGTTAGTCATGTGTGTAGGGTCAAGTTAGTAATACCTTTTAAGTATTAAAACGTTTTCAAAGTTAATGTTTGGTTTGTAATAACTGGGGACCTGGTGGATTCCTGAGCCATGGACAGACCTTTTTAGGGTGGTAGAACTGCCACCTAGGTTGGATTCTCGAAGCAGTTAAGTGGAAGCCCAGTTTGAGTATCTGATGAAAGCTACAGACATTCAAATTGTGCTATGCTTGTTCCGTACCCGCCCCCATGGGTAGGACATTTATATTAGAATTTTTCTCTTGTCATTTTAAGATGTCAGCATTTATGCTTTTTAACATTTTTGAAATACATTTTTTTTTTCTAGGTCAGTCATATCATTTGGATCAAAAAATAGAACAATTGGAGTTGCAGCCAAAAATCAGGTATGTTCTTTAAAAGAATTCTGATCACTTTTTAAGGGAGAAGTTCTTAAAAGGAAAATCTCAAGACACAAGAGTGTGAAGTGTGCCTAAGCTTATGTATTTTTGAGTTTTAAAAATTTAATTCAAGTATTCTTTATGAACCTTCAGATGATATTCTTTCCCTTCTGTTCCCTTTCTTTTGTTTTATTAGCATTGATTTTAACTTTCTCATCTGTGAGCCTTAACTTTTTTTTTTTTTTTTTTTAGAGACAGAGTCTCTCTGTTGCCCAGGCTAGAGTACAGTGGTGTGATCTCAGTTCACTGCAACCCCTGCCTCCTGGGTTCAAGTGATTTTCCTGCCTCAGCCTCCCCAGTAGCTGGGATTACTGGCACGCTACCATGCCCGACTAATTTTTGTATTTTTAGTAGAGACGGAGTTTCACCACATTGATCAGGCTGGTCTCAAACTCCTGACCTCAAGTGATCCGCCCGCCTTGGCCTCCCAAAGTGCTGGGATTACAGGTGTGAGCCACTGTGCCTGGCCTGCCAGCCTTAACTTTTAGTAACTTTTTGCTGCCTTTCATTTATCTAATTTTTAGAAATTATAAACAAGACACTAAATTCTTGAAATTTCTCATGATACTCATTTAGGAGTTAAAGATTCCTTTTATAGAAGGAACTTCTAAGAAGTTATGTGTTTAAAAGCATTTTCAGGTTACTGAAATTTTTGACCAGACTGTGCTGTTTAAAAAATATGGTAACCATGTAATGTATTGAGCATTTGAAATGTGGCTCACCTGAATCAAAATGTGAAGTATAAAATACACGTGAAATTTTTTACTTTTTTAAATCAAATTGTAAAGTAAAGTATGGTATCTCATCAATTTTTTTGTATTGACTACTTATTGAAGTGATAGTTTTTAAAAATATATTGTCCTAAGTTAATTGAAATTAATTTTATCTCACTAGTTTTTAATGTGGCTCCTAGAAAATTTTATGTAGGCAGCTCCCATTTATGGCTTACATATAATTCTATTGAACAGCACTGATCTAGACAGATCCCTTGGAGGTGGGGAGAAAAACAGTAATTAAAAAAAAAAAAAATGAAATGCTCTTTGAGGGGCCCTTTGAAATAGAAAACATTTTTCTAAATATAGTAAATAGTATTGCTAAGAAAGAAAGAAAATTTTGGAATATATTTTAGTACTGTATTATATATTATGGAATGTATTTGGTACTGACCTATGTAAAAGTCCGTTCAGATTTGAAAACAAAAATCTATCTCTTAAAATGCTTATGTTTAATGAGAAATTGGCACTTTATCAAACTTATGGATCTGCTTTCATTAGAAAATTCTTGCATTTTTTCTAATCCTTTGAATATGTAGATTGGATTTAACTTTATTTCCTTGGAAGAGAGATACAACAAGAAGGGGTGAAAGAGGAAAGGAGGAGAAATAGGCACACTCAAAATGATATGTTCAAAAGGGGAGTGGGACTTTAGCTGTAACAATCCTCTCAATGTGCCCAGTGAGGATATTGATAACCTAGACCTAAAATTCTCTTGCTTCTTTGTGGTTATGTGAGGATAATCTGTTGAGACTCACATTTGCCTGGTAGACAACTAGACATACTTCTTTCAGTTTTAGAAGCATTAGGAATTTTAAGACCTAAACTTGCTTGAATTCCATATTGTTTGAAAACTAGTACTGCCAAGCTAACTGTATTCTTCCCTTTATTCAAAGAACTAGATCAGAGAAGAAGTAAATAGTAAACTGTTTCTGTGTTTTTAAGTAATAATTTCAGAAGTCTTAGTTTGCATACTTATCATTATTTCTTTTTTCAAATGAGGTACCTTTGAGTGAAATGTGCTCTGAAGTGGGACTTTTCAATCTAGAGTTTGCTTAAAATATTTGACCACAATGATGGATTATAAAAACACCATTTCTTACAACAGTTTAACAAACATCTGAACCAGTTGTGTAAGATAGCCTTGTTTTTAAAAATTGTGCCTCTCAAGTCATCAAAATATGCACATGTAGTTGAAAACATTAGGTCATGTAGAAACTTCTTGAATTACTCTTCTATTTTCTACCTTTGGGTGTAGATAACTAGCATTTCCTGCTGTTGCTAGGAAAAGTAGTGATCCATGTATTTTCTGGCACAGAATGTTTATCCTGGCCACTTAGCTATTTATTAGACTATAAAAATTAACTTCTAAAAAAATTATAATTTGATTATAGTGCTTCTAGATCTATTCATTCATTGGGTATAAAACTTCACAAGTTTAGCAGGGAAAAAAGGAGTGAAACAAAGTGATAAAACTCTTGCAGGTTTGTTCCGTGCTTTAGCGATAGTTTCACTGTCTTTGAGTATATCTTGCAGATTTTGAAATCTGCTTTAAAGTCTGTAGTCACACTATTGCCTCTTGTTCCCTCTTTGCTGCTTACCTTCTGGCATTTTGTATAGGAGAAGAAGGAAGTGTAAGTAAAATCTGTTCATAGATAGGAAGTTTAGTGAAATCGATGGGCCTCAGGGAAAGTTATGCGCACTCATAGGGTTGGTTTGAGTTGTAAAGTGACAAAATTACTGAAAGTACTGGTAGGTGTGAAATTAGAGAAAAAATTAAAATCTCAAACTTCTTTTGCAGCAAGTCACTCATGCAAACAATACGGTGTCTAACTTCAAAAGATTTCATGGCCGAGCATTCAATGACCCCTTCATTCAAAAGGAGAAGGAAAACTTAAGTTACGATTTGGTTCAATTGAAAAATGGTGGAGTTGGAATAAAGGTAATATAATTGAGCAACCTTAGATTCCTTAATAGGAGGCGACCGCTTCATCCATCCATAGAGAAGAATATCGACTTATTAATACTTAAAAACACTAACTTACTTGAGTTTTTACTCAAATTTCTTAATTACACAAGAGGGTCTTTTTGTTCTTTTTTCATTCCGCTCCTTTTAAAGTATAGTAGTTACATGCTAAATTGTCTGAAAATTATTCAAATGGTAGTGTATATACTATAGCTTAATTTGTGTTTCTCCTGACTTTTTGGCAGTTGTAAAATTGAGGTTATTTGATGTTAAAAACAACATTGTGTTCCTGTATCAAACAAAAGTCTGTTCTGAGGTAGCCCAGTTGCAGTTGTTTGGAGAGCAGAAGTGTAATAAAACCAGGCATCTTTTTTTAAACTTGCAGAGGTATTCCTGTCTTATGATCAACACGCAATAATATTTATCCCAGTGATTCATCTCGTCAATCAGAGTGGAAATTTACTACCTTTTATGCTGTTTTGACTAAGACTTTGGGCGGGGCATGTCTGCCCTAGCTTTCTTCCCCTCCCCTTCATCTTTAGGTAGAAGTTCTTTCTTCCTTTTCCTTTTTTTCTTCCTTTCTGTCCCCCTTCGCTCTTTCCCCTTCCCTTTTTCCTCCTTTTCTTCCTCCTCCCAAAATGACTGTAACAATAAAGATTTTGTGGAAGAGAATGTGTGCTAATATTTGGAAGTTAAATATTGGCATGTAGCTTGCAGTACTACATTTAAAACATTTTTTCTCTTCAATACAGGTAATGTACATGGATGAAGAACATCTATTTAGTGTGGAGCAGATAACAGCCATGTTATTGACTAAGCTGAAAGAAACTGCTGAAAACAACCTCAAGAAACCAGTAACAGATTGTGTTATTTCAGTAAGTATAATTCAGCAAGGCAGTGTATTTTATTTCATTTTGCGTTCTTTATATTACTTTTAAGTATCAAATGTGGGAAAGCTGTTCTTTTGCAAGAGATCATATTCTACTGGACTGTATTAATATGTGTTCCAGAGCATTACAGAGTAGATTTGAGTGATATTTTTAGCCAGAAGCTGCAAACGTTCCTGACTAGAAATCAAAATCTATTGTGAGTCTTTTTGAAAACACAGATTCGTTGCGTTTGTAAGTATTCTAATGCAGTTAGTTGCTGCACTATCAGGCTTGTATATTTAACACAGGAGCTTTTCACAGGTTAAAGAATTCTACTCTCAGTTGAGAACCAGTGCATTAGGAATTTTAAAACGTAGCCTACCAGTGGTGATGAAACCTAAATTTCAGCAGTAGCAAGCCTGTTATCTTCATTGGACAATTAATAGTTAGACTGTCGGGATACTAGAAATGGACAAAAGTAATCTTTTATTTGGACACCAAAAAGGTAAACTGCTTGCCCAGATGTTTTGGGTCACTTCTTGATATGCTGTGGGGTATGCTTTTGGACTTAAATATACAGCATGGTCTTTGCTGTATAGTATGAGCAGTGTGGCCAGCCAAGACCAATCAGAAAGAAGCCTATATGAATGAATGAGTGTATGAATGAATGAGGCAGAAGGGCTGACATTTCTCTTGTTGCCCTTGCAAAATGGGAAATGTTTTAATCTCTGGGAAAATTAAAGAATTAAGTTATAGGTCAGTGGCTTCTCCCTCCCCTCTCCCTTCCCTTTTTTTTTTTTTTTTTTTTTGTTAACAATTTTTTTCCCTTAATGAGCTGAGAAACTGATGGAAGGGGTGTTCTGATTTGAAAGGTGAGGAGAGACCCACCTTTGCTCTTGGCCCATGTCTCTCTCTCAAGCATCTACAAATATTTTGGACAAATTTGAAAAATCACTGAACTAAACTTTTAGGTATTTGCACTTAAATGATTCTATGAATGTGTTATTAGATACTTTTTTTCCTGAATAGTATCCTGAAGTGCTGCACTAGAAGGCATTCAAGAATAATTACAACTAGAATAGCACAAGTCAATGCTATAAGAAACTTCAGCTCTTGAGCTGTCTTTACTCTTAGGAAAATCAAAGGCTTTGCCAAAAAGTGATTTTGTAATTTTAACAGGTTGACTGAATTAAAGAGTACCTCGGTGAATAGCAGAACAGTAAGGTGGTGGTGTGGCATACATTAGAATTAGCTCTAGAAGTTCCTGTAGTTCTTACCTACATTTTAATTATATTAAACATTAAATGTTGACTTAGCGTTATAATTTCCTAATGCCAGTAGAAACTTAAGACTAGTTTGGAAGCAGGTTTCGTCTGCTTTAATTTCAAGTTTTCTATTAGAAAATAGTTTCAATAGTCTTATGAAACTCCTGATTAATTTTTATTTCAGCTTAAACTTGGTTATAATAAAGACTATTTTGATCCTGTAATTTTGGGACAATATTTTCAAAAGTAGTTACTATTTTTGAAAGTTAAGGAGCTTGCAGGAAACTAAAGCCCTATTTGTGTTTTGTGACTTGGCGAGGCACCTACTTAGCTGGACTATTGTGAATTTATAAGTGGTTTGTGAGGAATTTCTAAGTATATTTTGTGTTCTAGATAATTCAGATTTTGTTGTTGTTGTTTGTAGGTCCCCTCCTTCTTTACAGATGCTGAGAGGCGATCTGTATTGGATGCTGCACAGATTGTTGGCCTAAACTGTTTAAGACTTATGAATGACATGACAGCTGGTAAGGAAAAAGCATTTGTGTAGAAGTGAATATACTATCAAGACTAAAGATACTCTCAGTGCTGTTGCTTTCATATAGATACAGAAACACAGCCTATTAAAAAGTCAGGTCAGATTTGAAAACAAAAATCTATCTCTTAAAATGCTTGTGTTTAATGAGAAATTGGTACTTCATCAAACTTATGAATCTGCTTTCATTAGAGAATTTTCATGTTTTTTAATCCTTTGAATATGTCGGTTGAATTTAACTTTGTTTCCTTACGTTGCATTTATGGTTAGATAACAAATTTTTCCAAAATCTTAAAATTCTGGGCTTCAAAACTGCCTTGGCTTACAAGTAATTGGTTTAGTTAAAAATTTTTTTAATCTATTTACTGAACTGTAGATAGTTGATCATTTATCAAATACTGATTTAAGCCTGTACTATTTGAATGTATTGTGCTAGGTATTATGGATATGCAGTGGTGAGCACAACATCTCCTCCATGAGCTTTTATTAGGATTACAGATGAACAGAAAGTTAAGGAAAAAAATGAGTTTTTATGCTGAAAAGTTTTCCTCACATATTTCTATTAGGTTTTTGGAAAACTTAAATGTTGGTAAAAATATGTTCTTAGGTATACATGTTTTGAAGTATAGTTCAAAGTTCAGAAAAAAATTAGCACAAACTCTTTAAGGTAGATCAGTTATTTACCTTGGATCTAAAAAAAATTGGTAGGAAGTGCAGTTGCTGTAGTTGTATATGAAATTCTTAATTTTTTTGGATAAGCAGTGTACTGGTGGGTTGTGGTCAAAATGTAAATATTGCATAATAAGTCTGATATTGTTTGTGATACATGGTTATATTTCATTGTATTCACTCCATATATATTTTGTCTAGCCAAAGCTCCATATATTAAAAAACGATAGAGTATTTTTCTGAAATCAGAAAGCAAGAAAATTAGTGTGAAGTCAGGTATAAAAGGAATATAATGTGTTCACCTTTAATTGTTTTAATAGTCAAGCTTCCTCCATGTGTAATTTTATGTAACAGTGAAATTCTTAAGAAAATGTGAACCGAAGAATTGAAACATTCTTATTTTTTGTAGTTGCTTTGAATTATGGAATTTATAAGCAGGATCTCCCAAGCCTGGAAGAGAAACCACGGATAGTGGTTTTTGTTGATATGGGACATTCAGCTTTGCAAGTGTCTGCCTGTGCTTTTAACAAGGGAAAATTGAAGGTAAAGTGATATATTGGAAGTCAGTGTTCAAAACACATTAAGTATTGTGACTTGAACCTGCTGAGCCTCTTTACTGTGCTTCTTGGTAATGAAGGGTTTTATTTTAGCTAAAGATGTTAACAAGAACTGGTTGCTAAGGTGGCTGTCCATAAAGATGATGTAATTGCCTTCGCATACTCTTCAGTGTTCTTGTTTAGGAAAGAAAAGGCTTTTTACAGTTATCTTCTGTGTAGTCATTTAAAAGTCAAAAATATCTTAGAGTTATTCCTAACTGATTTGGATTTCATGTATAATTTAAACAGTCTTGAGTCTGTTAGTCTTTAATTGTTTGAGTAGTAATACTTAAGATTTTAGTTACAAATATGATTGAAAATAACCAGACTATTTGTTGTTTCAACCAAATTAGGTACTGGGAACAGCTTTTGATCCTTTCTTAGGAGGAAAAAACTTTGATGAAAAGTTAGTGGAACATTTTTGTGCAGAATTTAAAACTAAGTACAAGTTGGATGCAAAATCCAAAATACGAGCACTCCTTCGTCTGTATCAGGAGTGTGAAAAACTGAAAAAGCTAATGAGCTCTAACAGCACAGACCTTCCACTGAATATCGAATGCTTTATGAATGACAAAGATGTTTCTGGAAAAATGAACAGGTGTGTCTTGAAGATGGAACTTTTTTTGAAACTGTAGCCCCAGGTGTCAGTTCTAGTGGGTGTTGTAAGTCTTGGCCTACATTTCAGAATTGTGTGTTAAATGCCTGTGGCTGCAGATACTGTTGTTTATCACCATTAACTCTAGGGGCACTTGTGTGAAGAGTGCTTTTAAAAATACCTTTGCTAAGTACTTAAGTACTCTCATGGGTCTAAGTACTCTCAAGTCTTCTTGGTATTTTCACTTTTTAGTATTTCTGGGCTAGTAATTGAATACTACTTTCACAAAGATACCGTGCAGGGACTGGAAATAACCATTGGAAGTAATGAGAATCAGATCAAAACATTTAGAAGGGCTGGGCATGGTGGTACATGCCTATCATCCCAACTTTCTGAGTCTGAGGCGGGAAGATCCCTTCAGTCCAGGAGTTTGGAGCTCCAGTGAGCTATGATTGTACCACTGCACACAGAGAGCAAGACCCTTCTCTGGGGGAGAAATTTTAAAAAGGTAAAATGGCAATCGTAAGGATATAAATTGATTTATTTGGGTAATACCAGTAGAGCTGGTTGTCTTCCTCATTTTCTTTCTGCAGCTGTTTTGTATATTAATCAAAAACAAAGGAGTTATAAACTACAATACAACTAAACTTGGCCCATGTAGAAGCCAGGGGTGTCTGAGGGGGAAAATAATGAAATTCACTGGGTTGTCAAAAGTAGGACAGTATATTGGTCTTATCTTTTCTAACAAGTTTTTATTTGCCAAGGTCACAATTTGAAGAACTCTGTGCTGAACTTCTACAAAAGATAGAAGTGCCCCTTTATTCATTGATGGAACAAACTCATCTTAAAGTAGAAGATGTGAGTGCAGTTGAGATTGTTGGAGGCGCTACACGAATTCCAGCTGTGAAAGAAAGAATTGTCAAATTCTTTGGAAAAGATATTAGTACAACACTCAATGCAGATGAAGCAGTAGCCAGAGGATGTGCATTACAGGTACTTTCTCAACGCTTGCTTTCGCTTGGTGTACAGCCCTTAAACAGTTACCATTGTATGTCATCATAGTGGGATAATAAACAGAGACCTGTGTCTAGATAGCTGAAGGACCTTTAAAACAGACCCATAAGGCTGTGGGATCAGGCTACTCAAATCCAAAAGATCCAGTAAATTTTAATTAAAGAATTACTGAGCTGGTGTTTCTCAAGCTGGGAATCAAAAAACAGGCATGATTCTGAGGATATCACAGAAAACATGGCTGAAACAGTAATTAGCTGTGTGGCGGTGGCAGTAGTTACTTACAAAGCACACAGGATTAGAATGGTAATCTAATACAATGAAGAATTGATTTGCGCAAGCTTTCTGAGTGTTAAGAGTATGAACTAATGGTTTTATAAAATAGATAACCCTCTCCCCAAATTGATACTTAATCTGCTTATCAAATAAAAAGGCAGCCCAGAAGCATGAAGTTAGTTTGGTGAAAAAACACCAAATCTAGAAGTTATTTGGTAAAAAAGAAAATATTAGTTTCTATTTAGGATATCATAGTAAAAAAAAAACTAAATAGTTTTAACTAAAGTTTCAAGTTAATGTATTTGAGTTTTAAGTGATTTAGTTAGCAGTTTTTAAAATACAAAACAGGATTCTGTAAACAAAGGTATTTAGACTGCCTTTTTTAATACTTAAAAAAGGAAAAATATGTAGATAACTAATTATTAATGATAATCCTTTGTATTATGCATCCTGTTCTATAGGGTCTTTGTTTTTGCTTTTTTCTTCATAATGGAATATGCCTCCTTAATTGACTCTGGTTCCTTCAAATGATGAAAGTTTGTAGGTTCTTCAGAAGTACAGCTAATTTTGCCCTCTCTTTTGAAGGATCCTATACTAAATGATGAATTGACTTTTTTGGTCTATTCAGCTTAATCATATGTTTAGTTATTTTTATATGTCCTATCTAAATAGAGAATTGTCCACCTATCTGTTGGGTGTTGCCTTTCCTAAATTGGAATTTACCATTGCTTTCTTCATTTACAAAATTACTTGAAAATATGAACATTATGAGTTTTGCCCTTTTGGGGGTTTCTTAGAGATTTGGAAAGCAGTGTAGACAGAACTGTTCATGGATGTATATGTGCATATTCAAAAGTGATACAGGTTGAAATTGCTATTAGCAAGGCAGTTTCTAAAACAAATTTCTAGAAAGATGAGGCTCTTTTCCTAAGCCCTTATGAAACCTGTTCTTGATTAATTGTTATCCTAAGATATATTATTTGTCCTTGTACCTAGTAATTGGCATAGTATTTAGATGGTAAAAATAAATTATTTGTTTAGATGAAATATACTGTAAACTATTTTTGAATTTGAGTGTTTTAAACCCTTACCGTCCATTAGAATTGAGTCTTACATGAAAAGATGACTGGGAAGTATTCATGTGCTCATTTTTTTTTTTTTTTTTTTTTTTTTTTTTTTTTTTTTTTTTTTTTTTTTTTTTTTTTTTTTTAAAGTGTGCAATCCTTTCCCCAGCATTTAAAGTTAGAGAATTTTCCGTCACGGATGCAGTTCCTTTTCCAATATCTCTGGTCTGGAACCATGACTCGGAAGACACTGAAGGGTATGTAGCAGAAAATAACATTCAGATACTCTAAAGTCGAAAAATTAACAAATGACTTCTATAGTAGAGTCATTAATTACCTGGAATCTTTCAGCAACCAAATCTACCAAAATATGTATCTCATTTTCATATCGTACATGATGAGATAGAATTGATCAAGATTTTAGAAAGTCTCTTTTCTGTTTGTGTAGCGCAGTAAGCATATTTAAGTACTTTGTCTGCTGAATGCCTTTTTCTTTTCTCTCTAGTGTTCATGAAGTGTTTAGTCGAAACCATGCTGCTCCTTTCTCCAAAGTTCTCACCTTCCTGAGAAGGGGGCCTTTTGAGCTAGAAGCTTTCTATTCTGATCCCCAAGGAGTTCCATATCCAGAAGCAAAAATAGGTAAGCAATTCATTGTGTATATTTTACTCTTTAAAGACTTAGCTTCTCATTCATCATACAAACATAAAGTTTTCTTATTCTTAGCAGTGTTGAGGGGAGCATAATTCTGTGTGGAGACATTTTCGATTTAGAATAATGGTGATGGAGCAATATCTTAATTTTATTGAGGAGTCAACTGGCCTACAGATAGAACAATTTGGTAGTTCTGCTGTTACTTGGGAGTGTATATTGATATATATTTAGGAACGCTTTAGTATTTTCCCTGTTCTGATACAGTCTGTATGTAAAGGATGACCCATGCTTTTAATATTCACCTTTCCTCTAGGTTAAGTGTTATTTGCAGTCTGTTACTTCTAATTTAAAACCTCAGCCAGCGACCACTGTGAAGCTATTTCTCAACTGTACCTTTGTGTTACCCATTGTAAAGTTATGTCTTTTTTGGTACATATCGTGGGGGGACGTTTGGCACCGTCCCTCTACTTTTACCCAAAGTAACTCTTTCCTAGACCACAGGTGGAATTTGCTAATATTGGTAGGTCTTTTCAGGACTCAACCCTTGCCTCACACACCTATTCATAAAGAAATTGTTTAAAGGAGTCCAACCTGATAAGTTGTGTTTTCTTTCTTACTACTTTAAAGGCTAAAATGTTCTGACCTGTACTTACGGCGTATTGTTTCTAAAACAGTTTTCATGAATTTATTGTCAGGAAAACAATTTGAGTAGACTTGTAAGATTTTGCTAAATTGGAATCTGTGCGTTAATTCCTTATTGTTTGGAAGATAAAATCCCAGCTCTTCAGCATGGCATCTAATTTTTCATGTTTGGCTGAAACTGAAAACGTTGCACATACTTGAGCCATCTTACATGCCACTTTGCAGAGTAAATGCTGTTTCTTTAGATGGATGGATCTTTTGGCAATTATTTCCTGAATTACTGATTTGACAATTAATCAAGGTGTATTCTTTTGATCTTTGTGACATTGTAATTAAATCTGTAGCTGTGTGTGTTCATATAGACAGCACTTCAAATAAAAGGCAGTTAAATCCCATTTAGAGCTTTGCACATAACAGGTTCAAAATACTCATTTTTTTGGCTTAGTGCTTTCTGGAATAACAGTACCTATTGGTGGCTATAACTTAGCACCTAGCTCTTGGTTTGTAGTATTTAATCCTCAGAAGTATAGAAAATTTAGGTAACTTTTATAATAGGTAACACAGCCAGGATTCAAGCCCAGACAGTCTGGATTAAAGTCTGCACTTTGAACCATTAGTAATGTTCTGGAACCGCACTGTATTGCACATAATAATTTCAGGCTTTCGTACCGATTTTGGCTCACCTCCCTTATTTAAAACAGCTAAATGTTTTGATTATTTAACCAAGAGAATGGTACTCTTCAAAAGATTATAGGATGAAAATTCAGCATGTGCTTGCTATCATCTGCCTTATGCTTGCAAACAGTTTTTCATGTCTAGTTTGTGCTCACCCATCTGGAGTAAGTAGTAGGGTAGGAGGCGGCAAGGACCGCATGTAATCGATATCTTACACGCAGTGTTTGCCTAGTTTTAAGTAAGACAGTTATGAGAGTGACCTTACCTTTGAAAGTTTTTATGGCATACTAAGGTTAATCGCAAGTATATATATTTTAAGAGTTTATAGTTAGAGGACTTTAATTTAGTAAAGACTGGGTAGAAGATTTTGCAACAGCAGTAGTTCTCAAATTTTATTTATTTTTTTAGCCTTTGTATTTTTCTTATCTGTCTCCTTTACACAGATAGATTTTTACTGATTTATTAAGAGAAGGGGGTCTCACTTTGTTATGAGGCTGAAGTGCAGTGACGTGATCATAGCTCAGTGCCACCTTGAACTCTTGGGCTCAAAGTGTCCTCCCGCCTCAGCCTCCTGAGTAGCTGGGACTACAGGCACATGCTCACACACCCAACAGTTTATTTTTTTGGGGTAGAGATGTGGTTTTCCTTATTGTCTTGCCCAGGCTGGTCTCAAACTCTTGGGCTCACGTGATCCACCACGTCCTCCCAGAGTGCTGGGATTATAGGCATGAACCGCCCTACCTGGCCTCCTCTACAGAGATTTAGACTTAATTCTAAAATTATATGGTTTTGGTTGTTCTAGGCCGGTTTGTAGTTCAGAATGTTTCTGCACAAAAGGATGGAGAAAAATCTAGAGTAAAAGTCAAAGTGCGAGTCAACACCCATGGCATTTTCACCATCTCTACGGCATCTATGGTGGAGAAAGTCCCAACTGAGGAAAATGAAATGTCTTCTGCTGAAGCTGACATGGAGTGTCTGAATCAGAGACTGCCAGAAAACCCAGATGCTGATGTAAGTTTGTGGATAAATCTTTGTGTTTGAATAGAGTTGACTTAGTTCTAAGCTATAGGAGAAGCTAGGTAGGGAAGAGTTAAAATGAATGTTTTTCTTCATAAATAATTTTGATCAGAATTTTAGGTGATAATAGCACTTGCCAGTTAATTGTAATATACAGCGTGAAATTTGGTGAATTGTGATTAAATTCTGTGTGACTGAATTTGAAGTAACTTGTATATACCAGAGTAGTTGATGTTTCATTGAGTTGGGATTGTTTTTGGTTTTTTGAAGACATAGACCACATTTGAGAAGTCAAATGTTGACTGACGTTTAAGAAACTTAAAAAAATAGACTGCTAAAAAACTGTTTGAAATAGCTGCCAAATACTAAAGTTTTTTAAATTGTATGGAAAAATTGGCTTTGCTGTTTCAGCACTTGTTTTTTTTTTTTACATGGTTTTCTGTATTGGGGGAGGAGGGAAGAGAAGTGTCTGTGTAGTGTATAGTGAGAGTTGTTCATCATTAGCATGAGTGCTAGTCCTGTGTGGTCAACAGAAGAATTTTAGGAAGCTGAAGTATACTACAATAATTAGTTTATTTCTTAAGAGGCAGGCATTGTGGTGTTCTAGTTAAGATGTGGAAAAAGTGTGTTATCTAGTGATCACTTACCTTTCTAGAACATTTAAGGAACATAAACAGTTTGAACCTTAGTTTTATTCTCTCACCTAGAAAAATTCTAATGTAGAATAATGGGTTAATTGATGAGTGCCATATACTTTCTCAAACTTAATGCCTTTTGGTTATCAGGAATGCCTTGCTTCTGAACACGTTAGTGTCTGTCTTAGAATCTTGAAGACTTGAAAGAAAAATATGAGAGAGTTGGGTGTGGGCAGAAAGTAGTTAACCTAGAATATTTCGGGCCTCTCCCCAAGATGGGTAGAGATAAGCAAGCACTAACTTATTAGGGATTGAGGGCTACTAAAGAAGAAAATTAGGAAACTCTCAGGTTCATTTTTCTTCTTTTTCTTTACCACATTTTTAATTAGGATTGTTAATACATAGCATTTATTCTTTATCCTGCGATCTTTTAAGGTATAAATAGCCGATCACAGACTATCGTGGCAACAGAGTGAGTCTTGGGTATCTATAAGCTGAAGTGATGAATCCCTGAAAAACTGATAATTGGCCATTTTATGTAACTGTTCAGTAAATTGAAATGGAGATTTGTTGAGATCCATGATGGCTGCTGGTAAAATCGGTTTTAGAAGCTTGTGTCTAGGAACGAGGCCTGCAGTAAACTATTTCCTGTGCCTTAGAGACTGAATATCTGTACAAGCTTAGATGAGCTTCTTAAGGGAGAGCTCTTGATTGTCATCACATCAGTTAAATGCTTTTACTTGTGTTATTTAATGGTATTAACTGCTGTCATTCAAAGAATTTTTTACAGGTTTAGAATTTCTGCAGAAGTTTTCGAGTACTTTGTGTTCATTTTGTTTTTATCCAGTACCTTTACTCCCCACCTGTTAAGATTTCAGAAATTGAGTGTACTGTCTTTGGTGCCCTATAACTTTAAAAATTTATACAAGTACACCTGCTTTCTACATCCTTTGTGCCTGGGCTTTCATTTCAGAAAAATGTCCAGCAAGACAACAGTGAAGCTGGAACACAGCCCCAGGTACAAACAGATGCTCAGCAAACCTCACAGTCTCCCCCTTCACCTGAACTTACCTCAGAAGAAAACAAAATCCCAGATGCTGACAAAGTGAGTGACTCTTCTAGTTCATTCCATTAGACAATGTTGCAACATGTAATCATTAACGATATCATTAAATTGCAGTTTCAAGAGCAAGCACCAAGTGATTTCATTCTGTGTAGGATTTTTTTTCTGTTGATTTTCTGTGTATTTTTCAACTAAAACCAGTTAGAGGTATACAAGCTCAGTTAAGGGAATTGAATGTCCTGAACCTAAAAGCTTCTCTTGATTAACTGCCACCTGAAGTAACAAGAGGCTAATGTATACTGTTTGTTGTCTTTCAAAGAGCAAAGGTATCTTCTAATACCAAAGGCAGAAATTGATATTTCCCAGGGCTACATGATTAGTTTTTACTTGAACTAATCAGATGATAAATACATGGGCTATAGGAGTCTAGTAAACGTTTTTCTCCTCTCAAGTCATCAGTCAAATTTAAGTAAATTAATTATGGTGGTCTGGTAATAACCAGATTGCATTTCAAGGTAATTATTCTTTTGTCCTGCTTCTACAGTAGATATTGGAAGCTAACTTAAAAAGTGATATTGTGTCCCTTGTAAAGGGACAGCTTGTTATCAGACGTTTAAGATTTGTGGTCAGATGGATACTGAAAAACTTCTGTTGTTAACTGTGAATCACTGTATGTTTTGTGGAACTTTATTTTCTGTACAAGTTGCATATAAATAATTAGCCTTCTCTTGGTTGTTTGGTTTCTCTTACATTCAGAGGGTAGAGTTTTTTTTACCCTCAGGCAAATTACAGAATCTTTCATTGGGGTCAGAATAGGTTTTTATACTGTGTAAAAGTTTCCAGTTTTTAATTTTCCTGCCTCCTCGTTGGTCCTCAGGGGCTCCCAATTTGAGCTATAGGACCTGACTGATTTCCGAAAGCTGCTGTTTTCTGCTGTTAATGTTGTAGGATGATGGTGGTTATTTGGAAAAATCAACACTTAGTTTCAGCAGCACACCCCTTGACTCGGGGTGAGCATTAACTGCTCTTGCTGATAGTCTCAGTACCTGTCTAGAGCATGACATTGGGTAGGATCTCATGCTCCTTAGTTGTAGGTAGGACTATTAATCTCAAGCCATTTGGAGCATTATTACCACCCCTTTGGAGAGGGTTCCTCATCTATTCCATGTTGAAATGTTATTTTGTGATGCTGGTTTTATCAATAGTTGGTTTAATTGGGTACTGTCAAGTTGTCTTGTCTTGATTTAACTTCCATACATGTGCTGTTATCCATTTGTTTCCCAACGTCTGTTGCACTCCAGTGTCGTCTTAGGTATATATTTCAGTGGATTTATTTTTCTTTCCTGTGGCTCATGCCCTCAGAGCATGCATAATGTATTGAAGGGTTGTGTGCACTAGAAGGAAAATGATGTGGGGAGGACTGCAGGCTGACTGCCTAGTTCATTCATAATGCTAACAGCGTATGGCATAGTGATAAGCTTATAGGTGATTTCTAAGGAACACTCAGATCAGTCTCTGAAGCATGGGATCTAGTTCCATCTCTTTTATTTTAGGCAAGTCATTGAACTTTCTAGACCCAGTTTCTTTGATAAAGTGCCTAAGATTTTTACATCATTTATAACTCCTAAAAGCCATGATTATCGCACCTCATGGGCTAGTCTCTTCCCGTCTTACCATCCTACCCATCAGGATACGTGTTACACACTGTGGTTGTCATCTGGTCTGTCATACAACTGAGTTAGCTCAGTTGTGTTCTTTGTCATTTGTATTAGTAGAAACCTGCAGAAATGGAAATGCATAGCAAAGTTTGGAAAATTAAAGGCCACAGGAGATACTTACTTCTTTAGCCCTGTATTTACATATTTTAGAAAACCTGTATAAATGATCAGCATGTGTCACATCGGTCCTTCTGGTACTGTAAGACTAATCTCTTTTTACCTTGCAGTGTTGCTTATACAATTCAAAGGTGGATAGTAATAACGTGTGTGTTCATATATGTATGTATGTATATATACATATATATGGAAACTCCAGGTTGAATAAGGACAATTGTAAAAGGCATTTATCAGCATAGTGCTAGTTGTAATTAAAGCAGGCACACTGGCATATAGAGCCTATAATAATATAGGAATTGACTTGATCCTAACCTGTTTTACATTGCTGAAAGTTTATCCTTAGGTGGCAGGTTCTAGAGTCTATAAAGATCAGAATAATTCAATAATTTTCGTTTTTTGGCTTGTGGGATTTTCAAGAATGTTTAAAGGGGTTAGAAAGTAAAGACTTGTGAAGAAAAGCTTTAGGAGGAGAGATGGATTGTTCAGTATGAGAAGAGAAAAATATCCTGGTAAATTCCTGAAGGGGACAGTGTGGCATATTTAAGTTTAATAGCAGCCCTGATTTAAAATAGTAAGAATTAGGTGATCCTATAGACCCTTCCAACTTTATGATTTTTAGAGATTTTATTTTTGCCCAAGTCATCAGTAAGTATAAGGAGTTTTTCTTTCCCCCAAGGGTTGTTTAAAAATTTTTCCTTCTTTTTATTCCCCTTCCCAAGGCAAATGAAAAAAAAGTTGACCAGCCTCCAGAAGCTAAAAAGCCCAAAATAAAGGTGGTGAATGTTGAGCTGCCTATTGAAGCCAACTTGGTCTGGCAGTTAGGGAAAGACCTTCTTAACATGTATATTGAGACAGAGGTAAGTACTTTAGTTAAATATTTTTATTTTGAGACCAGGCGCGGTGGCTCACGCCTGTAATCCCAACACTTTGGGAGGCCGACGTGGGTGGATCATAAGGTCAGGAGAGGTAGACCATCCTGGCCAACATGGTGAAACTCTGTCTCTACTAAAAATACAAAAACTTGCTGGGTGTGGTGGCACGTCCCTGTAGTCTTAGCTACTCGGGAGGCTGAGGCAGGAGAATCACTTGAACCCAGGAAGCGGAGGTTGCAGTGAGCTGAGATCTTGCACACTGCATTCCAGCCTGGCAACACAGAGTGAGACTCCGTCTAAAAAAAAAAAAAAAAAAAAAAAAATTTAAAAATAAGCTTAGTTGCTTGGTGGTGTTACCCATATTTCTAGTAGATAAATGGCCATAATACTTTCTCATCCCAAGTTTTATGTAGTTTTAGGGATAGGATGAAGCCAAAACTAACGAATTTTGCAGTTTAATTTTTTTTAACAAGTTTTGTTGCATTTTTTTATTCGTATTAGATCTACATGATAAATGATTCTGTTTGATATAAAATGATTGGCTGACTTCTTGTGAAAAAAAAAATGGATGGTAGTATACACAGCACAGTACAGTTGGAATTTCAGGCCACACTAAATATTTCTATTAAAATACATTGTGGTTTTTTAGTAGTCTGAAATTCTGGAATAATATGTGAAATAATTGATATTTGTTTTTTCCATACTGAGGTGGGAACATTGTATTTAAGAGTTTATTTAACAATAAACTATAGTCCATTTATTTATATCTTTAATTTTAAAAAGTGGTGTGACCATTATGCATTGGCCAGTATTAATCTGATTATAAGATAAACATTTATATACAAGAAAACAAAATTACATTTAAACAATAGGTTTTTTTTTTTTTTTAACTTAGCATTAAATATGAAATCTGTAATCAGTTACAATGTTAAAAAAAAAATCAGACGTCAGCCTGTGTATTTAGAAAATGGAAATGTCTGTTGGGTTTGTAGGAAGAGTTTGATGAGATAGAAATTGGAGCTGCATTAACACAAATTTGTTTTGTATTGTTTTTTTTTTTAAAATCCCAGAGTCTACATATTTAAAATTTAGTTTGAGTTAACTAGAAGACCGGAATTAACCTTTCCTGTTTCCTGACCAGGGTAAGATGATAATGCAAGATAAATTGGAAAAAGAAAGGAATGACGCTAAAAATGCAGTTGAGGAATACGTGTATGAGTTCAGAGACAAGCTGTGTGGACCATATGAAAAATTTATATGTGAGCAGGTATGTCTCAAAGCTCTATTTTTGTTTCGATAGTCTCATATAAAGTGTTTAATATATAAATTGACAGTTGAGGCTTAAGCCTTTTAAGTAATTCTTATGTAAAATTCTTAGTCACATAATTTGAACTTTTTGGAAACAGAAGACAAAGTCATGGAGAAAGGGCTTGTTAGTGATGAGCAGTTTTATTTTGCACAAGCCTACCCCCAAAACACTTTTTACCATCAAGAAGAGAGAACCTATCGAATATTTATGTAGAGTCTATGTCATTACTGTCATAGGGTCTAGGATAATAAGAGAAAAATCTTCGATTTTAAAGACTCAAATGCAGTGATGCCACTGCCTTGGTAGCTTTTCTGTCATTGTTTCATCTCATAAGATGTGTTCAGTCATTCCAGAGCTTACTAAGTCCCATTATTTCCCTTATCCCTTTTCTTGACTCCCAGTTAGTATGGCTCTGAGTAAATCCCAGACGCACAACTGTGAAAGACGGGACTGGGAAAACAGAAACTGGCTAGCTATAAATCTAGCCAGTTTAGTTAAGGGTCATTTAAAGTGAAATTTCAAGTCTATTTTATTCATAGTTCTAAGGACTCTGGGCTACATTGTAGTGTACTTCAGTTCTTAGCTCTGCCCTGTTATTCTCTGAGTTTCTTATGGTGGGAACTCTAAAGTGGAGATGACTGAACCAGGCAGGACCTCCCAGGGCTGGAGTAGAAGTTCATAGCTTACATGAACTGGTTAGGAATGACTTTTTCATGTGTTTAGTGATTGTCAACTTGTATAGCTTCCCCTCAGTATTCGATAGTTGTGTAAGTGAACCTAATTAAGACCCGGTTGTTTTGGGGAGTAGGAAGATAATTGCTCCTCTATAACCCATATTTCATTCTACAGATTGGGCTTCTACAGTATTGTAAGTCAATGAGAGCCATTTTCAGTGTCTGTGTAACAAGGCAGAGAAGCCAAATCAGAGTGCCTTCCTGGATAAGATTAGCTACCTAGTGTGTGAACACCTCTGAGAATGCCTCTGTTTTGTTTTGAAAAATTCTGAAGTACAAGTGCCACTAATACTGTCATATTTTATGTTAAGGATCATCAGAATTTTTTGAGACTCCTCACAGAAACTGAAGACTGGCTGTATGAAGAAGGAGAGGACCAAGCTAAACAAGCATATGTTGACAAGTTGGAAGAATTAATGGTAGGCCCTTTTCTCCCCCTAAAAGGTGGTTTGTGTTTTAAACTATAGACTTAATAAAATTATAACTATTAATTTATTACATTTTATTTTAGAAAATTGGCACTCCAGTTAAAGTTCGGTTTCAGGAAGCTGAAGAACGGCCAAAAATGTTTGAAGAACTAGGACAGAGGCTGCAGCACTATGCCAAGATAGCAGCTGACTTCAGAAATAAGGTGAGTCAGTCTTTTTGTACCTAGGGAGGAAGTTAACCTAGATTTTAATAAGCTAACATTTAAGCTGGGAATCATGAACAATCTTAAGTTTGAAATTTTGTTATTTGAGGTTAGAGATAGATTAGAACCTCCTGGAAGATTGGGTCACATGAGATGTTATTCAATAAATTCCATAGAATGACTGTGTTTTTTCTGTTCAGGATGAGAAGTATAACCATATTGATGAGTCTGAAATGAAGAAAGTTGAGAAGTCTGTTAATGAAGTGATGGAATGGATGAATAATGTCATGAATGCGCAGGCTAAAAAGAGTCTTGATCAGGATCCAGTTGTACGTGCTCAGGAAATTAAAACAAAAATCAAGGTGAGTGTTAACTGTCTTGTGTTTACTGCTGGGTTCTCTTACAGACTCAAGTTGCAATCATTCGGACCTTTAACCTAGCCATTTTTCCTATAAATCTTTTACCTCATCCTGACTGAGACCAGCTTTTCTTAGAAGTCTATTATTGTATCACAAAATATAGAAGACCTTGTAAGTTTGTTAAATGTCCACTTCTCCATTTACTCATTCATATCAACAAATATATTTTTTGAATTCCTGTCATGTGCCAGTCCTTGTTCTCAGGGTTAAACAATTAAGTGTGCAAAATGTAGTCTCTGCCCTTATGGAATTCACCTTGTAATGGGAGAGAGACCAATAAACATGCCTGTGTCATCTATCAGAAAGTGTTCAGGGCTGTCAGGAAACAGTAGGGCAAACGGGGTTAGGAAATTCTAGGTCTTGTTGTGTGTGAGGCTGGAAGGAAACTGGGAAAAGTGCTTTTCTGGAATAATATTCAAACACAGTGAAGGTCAAGGAAAAGTGGCCCTTTTAAGCACTATCAGTTTCAAGCTATAAACTTGAATTCTAGCCCTGTCCTCACTAGTTTTCCTGATCGATCGTGAAGTTACTTAACCTCTCTGAACCATTTTCTTCCATCAAGTGGGGATTATAATTCCTGTCCTTTAATACTGTTGTGAGGATTAAGGGAAGTAATATGTGTAAGTACATGGGGAGTCCTGACACATCATGGAAGAATATTAATACTCTCTTTTGGTCAGACATTAAGCTATGGTTTTTGGCAAGTGTAATGAGAAAACGGTAATTTTTTGATGTATAATTGGAGAAAAATAGTGGTTCAGATATGTGGAGAAGCAGTTGAAAATGAACTGGATGGAGGTGCGTTAATCTGATAACTAGTTTTGTTTTCTTTAGGAATTGAACAACACTTGTGAACCCGTTGTAACACAACCCAAACCAAAAATTGAATCACCCAAACTGGAAAGAACTCCAAATGGCCCAAATATTGATAAAAAGGAAGAAGATTTAGAAGACAAAAATAATTTTGGTGCTGAACCTCCACATCAGAATGGTGAATGTTACCCTAATGAGAAAAATTCTGTTAATATGGACTTGGACTAGATAACATTAAATTGGCTTATTCCTTCAATTAATAAAATATTTTTGCCATAGTATGTGACTCTACATAACATACTGAAACTATTTATATTTTCTTTTTTAAGGATGTTTAGAAATTTTGTGTATTATATGGAAAAAGAAAAAAAGCTTAAGTCTGCAGTCTTTATGATCCTAAAAGGGAAAACTGCCTTGGTAACTTTCAGATTCCTGTGGAATTGTGAATTCATACTAAGCTTTCTGTGCAGTCTTAACCATTTGCATCACTGAGGATAAAACTGACTTTTGTCTTTTGGAGAAAAAAACAAACTGTACTGCTTGTTCAAGAGGGCTGTGATTAAAATCTTTTAAGCATTTGTTCCTGCCAAGGTAGTTTTCTTGCATTTTGCTCTCCATTCAGCATGTGTGTGGGTGTGGATGTTTACAAACAAGGCTAAGTCTGACTCCATAAGGGCTTTCTAAAATCATTTCTGTCCAATAGAAAATGACTTTTTGCTTTGATATTAATTCAATGAGTAAAACAAAAGCTAGTCAAATGTGTTAGAAGCATGCAGAACAAAACGTTTAAAATTTCTCTCTCACTATACAGTATATTGTCATGTGAAAGTGGAATGGAAGAAATGTTGATCCTGTTGTAACTGATTGTGAACACTTTTATGAGCTTTAAAATAAAGTTCATCTTATGGTGTCATTTCTAAACTTGATTTTGTCACTAATTTTAAAAATGGGATGGGGAGACAATTCTAGCAGAAACGAAGGTAGTGTCAAGATCCAATTTTTTTGCTGCTTATCTTACCTCTTTTCTAAGTTAAAATGGTTTTCTCCTGACAGAAAAGTAGCATATTTATTACATTAACACATTTAAAAAATACTGTAAAGTGAATATAACTTAAAATTCCTCCACCCAGAAAAAAACATTGTTAACACTTTGTTATACATTCTTGGAGCCTTTTCCCTCTAATGAAGGAGTTATATCTGTGTGGGTGTCTATGTTATAGTGCTGTAGGCTGTTTTTAAAAAACTCTATACCAGGGCAATCAGTAAATACAGTCAGGTGTTGTAACTGCATAAATGTAGTGAGTTCATTATAAAGACATACTTAAAAGGACCAATCTCGCTATTGGTGGATTTAGGTGTTTTCTCATTATTTTTGTTCTAAATAATGCTGCAGTGAATTTTATCTGGCTATTTTGTAAGCACAGAATTGAAGTCGTGTTTGGGGTAGTAGAGAAGTCACATTTACTTAGGATAGATGACAAGTAACCAGCTGCTCACTAGGGTGCAACAGTTTGTTATTTCTTTTGTGGTAGAAATGGGGTTTCGCTATGTTCCCCAAGCTGTTCTTGAACTCCTGGGCTCAAGCGATCTGTATGCCTTAACTTACCAAAGTGCTGGGATTACATGGGTGAGCCACCATTCCCAGCCATTTATGGTCTTGATGAGGGCCAACTTTCCCTCCTCTGAGGGATTAATCTTAAAACTGTAGCCAATGTATTATAACTACTATTTAGCTACTCTGTGCTCCACACTTCACATGGAGTAGTATCTTCAAACCATGAGGTTTAATAACACTTGACTGCTGAGGTTTATTTCCTCAGCTCTGATGCTTCCGGTGTGATGTAAGTTATTAAATTAAATTCAACATTTCAGTCTATCTAGACCTGGTAGCTTGTCATTTGTGTGTGTGATAAGTGCTTCGACATTTTAGAATCTGGCTATTTTTCATGAATTGCATATTGTACTCATTTCTAATATTGGAATGTAAGATGTTCTGGCCAGGTGTGATAGCTCACGCCTGTAATCCAAGCACTTTGGAGGCCAAGGCAGGCGGATCACCTGAGGGATTGGGAGTTCAAGACCAGCCTGACCAGCATGGTGAAACCCCATCTTTAAAAAAAAAAAAAAAAGTTCTTACTAAAGATCTTAACCATGTCAGCTATTCAGCATTTCCCTACTTCATAATTTCTAACTGCTTTACCATTGAGCAACTTTAAATTTTTAGGCAAATTAATCTTTTTTTGTGGTTTTTGTGTTTTCTGAATGACTTTAATGCACACTAATATATACTCAGTAGATACACATTTACACATTGAGAGGTGAAGATAGGTTTGTGTTCTGTGTACAGTAGGAAGTCCATTAAAAAGTTTTTAAAAACTATGAATGGGAAAATATGTTTTTCCTCCTGCCCTAAAATAGAACCTGATAATGGGAGGGAGCATCAGTCAGTCTGGCCTCAGTGGACTGCATTTTTGGATGTAAGAAAAAGTATTGTCTTGTTGATTACTTAGTGTCATTGGCTCTCACAGTGTGATATATACCTAGTAATCATCTAGGATCTCAACAGTATGCACCAGTTTAAATAAATGCTGTTTAGGAATTACATTTTACATTTCATTTTAAATTGTCATTTTGTGACAATATTCCTAAATAATGTCCATTTTGACTAATAGCTGAATTTCGGGTCTCCTTTGTCATGAATATTGGTTATGTGTGAGCATGATTAACTTACTTTTCTTGAGTAAAATCCCCAAAGTTTGCTTGGTTTTTATTATGTTTGATTATTCATCAAAAAGAATGGTGCAGTTAATTTGACTAGTGTAACTTGCCTCTGCAAAATAGTCTATTGGAAGTTAGTTTCTGAAGTGCCAAAAACTTTAGCTACTGTGATTAATGACTTGCTTTTGTAAGCAGCATTCAAGATACTTTTTTCTACATCATTACCACTTGTCAATTTGTATCCAGACTTCTATTTTGCCTGTGGTGTTTGATTGCTGTGGAGTAATATCTCTTGCTATTTATCATGTTTTCATAGCACAAAACAATGACACAGCTCTTCTGGGGAGATTGAGTCTTTACAAGTATTTGGAGAGAGGTTGCCTTTCTCCAAGTACTGAGTAATTTTGGTATGGTTAAGCTCTAAGTGGGCAGACTGATGAGAAATGTTCTTCTATTTGCTCTGTCACGTGTGCTGTGGTTTACTTGTAGTGGTCTAGTTTCTTAGCCTTGGAGGCTTAAAAGACAACCAGTCAAAACTAGTGATCTTTGAATCCGCATTAGCATGTGATTTGGAAATAACGTAAGAACACAGGGCATACTTGAAACTTCTAGGATAACCAGCTTTTCAGTCACTTGAGGTTTCATTTTCTTAGAATTGCATAGCAAGAGCCTCTTAACAATTCTTACACTGCTTCAGGGCATATGGCAGGGAGTATGGTGTAGTGGAAATAATACTTTTTGGGATAGGAAAATATTTGGTGTCATGTTCAAGAGTTTGAACCATGCTGGCCCCTCAAGTGCTATGGTTTTTAGGCAACTAACCCAATTTCTGTGAATCTTCATTTCTTCATCCAAACCTATATAACCTTGACTGGACCAGTCTCTGCCATGGTGGCTTCCTCTAGCACTGGGTTTCCCAACTTTAGCACATTAACATTTGGGGCTGGCTTATCCATTGTAGGGGCTGTCCTGTGCCTTGTAGGATATTTAACAGCATCACTCGCCTCCAACCATCAGATAAGAACAACTTTCTACCCCAGTTGTGACAACCAACAATGTCTCTTGTCCATGAGTTATAGGGAAAATGACTTTGAACTTGAAAATAAGACTCATAAAGAGTAGAAGTAAACTGGCCCTTTCTGAGTATCTTTCAGCGATCCGGCACTGTGCCAGGTGTCTACTCAGGCTTCACAATGATCTAGAAAGGCATTGTTTCCCCCATTTTACAGGTGGGAAAATGGGGTGACACTCTGACCAAGCTAAAATGTATGTTAATTAGAACTTAGTTCTATCTAGCTCCAAGACCTGTGTTCTCTCCGGTGGTGGAGTGATCAAAGTTGGCATGCACATAGCCAGGGATGGACCAGCACTGTGAAAATGCACTTGTATCATCATTGAAAATTCCATGGGAGGACTCCAAACCTGTTCTCTGAAATTAGCCATAAAATTCAACCATGTTAAGTTTTGCTGTTTCTTCACTTGGCTGTATCCAGCTTTCTAAGCCCACGAAATGCAGATTCTTAGTCCAGTGTTTATAAACCTGATCAAGACCAGTATTTAAAAAAAAGAAAACAGAATTAAACAAAATAGTGCATCACAAGGATCAGGTGAGGATTTTTTTTTTTTTTAGATGGCGTCTCATTCTTGTTACCCAGGCTGGAGTGCAATAGCATGATCTCAGCTCACTGTAACCTCCGCCTCCCAGGTTCAAGTGATTTTCCTGCCTCAGCTTCCTAAGTAGCTGGGATCACAGGCACCTGCCACCATGCCTGGCTAATTTTTGTATTTTTAGTAGAGACGGGGTTTCACCATGCTGGCCAGGCTGGTCTCAAACTCCTGACCTCAAGCGATCCACCCACTTTGGCTTCCTAAAGCGCTGGGATTATAGGCATGAGCCAGTGCAATCGGCCGAGGATTGGTTCTTGATGCTTTTATCCCTTTGTTAGGCATAAATTAGGTCCATGCTTACTGAAGATTGTGTCCCAAAATGTTTGGGAGATCCTGGCTTAGACAATTGCAGTTGTTCATTAAAAACAAAACCCAAAGCTTACCTTTTCATTGAGCATTGGACTAGAAACTGACCCTTAACTCTGGTTGTATATTAGAATTTCTTGGGAGCTAATTATACAAATAATGGCACACACCTTCAGAGATTTAATTGGTCTGGGATGAAACCTGAGCATCAGGATTTAAAAGCTTCCCAAGTGAGTCCAATGTATAAGCTCAAGAACCACAGGGCTGTTGACTGTACGTGGGGTGTCCTGTTTGGTAACTGATGTTTCAGTGCTAAGAATTTGAAGGTTTCCTTTTCTAAGCCCTGATGATCTATCCTGTAGATAAACAGATGATAGGCTCATCCATTTACATTTTTTTCTGTACTTAGCCTTTTCACATTGGCTATAGATGTTCAAGTATTGCTTACATGTACCCAACTTCCTTATTCCTCTCCTGCTTCTCACTGGAGGAATTTTGGGATTGATGCAAAATGGCTTCTACACCTTTCTGTAGGTTTTTGTACAGGTTTAACTTCTGCACTAATCACTGAAGCCTTGAGTCCTACTCAGAATGAGCCCCCCTGCAGCCGATTGAATGCAGGCAGTTGAGTATCTCACTGTGGTTCGCTGTTGGACTGGTGCTTTCAGGGGCTTCTTCCCTGCATCGCCACCACCGCTCACCCCCATCAACGTCTGCACAGACACATACACTATTTCAGGGGTTTCCTGTCAATGTGTTCCTTTTAGTTGCTTCTGGCTTTTATTATTGATAAAATACAGAAAAGCATGGAGAATTGGGAAACAACTCCTTATTGCACTTGGTCCTGGCCCAGCTAAGCAGGGAAGGAGCACTGGAAAGTACATCAAATGCTTGTTTGGCTTTTAAGTCAAACATACTTGGATTTACATTCTGGTTGCTCTTTTCACAGTCCACATGGTCTTGGCATTAACCCCCCGTGCTGGTTTCTTCTGTAAACTCAGTTTCTGCCTCCACAAGGTGGTTGTGGAAGATGAAAGGAGTTTGTGCACATGATGTGTTGAGTGATCTTGGCTCAGGGTGGGCACCCAGGAAATTCTACAAGTATGTTGGCTGAGGAGGTGCTCCCTCGCCCACCTCTTCAGTGTTAGCTTTCTCCTCCGGTATCAGCGTTCACGTTTTACTTCTCATTGCCACCACTGCACACACACAAACACACTGATTTTTATTTC